ACTTGAGTAAATTATGTTTTACATTGGGCACTGAGGAGGCAAAATTAACTGCATACTATAGGAGAAAGACATGTGGATAATATGCTCAATATGATGGTTTTACCCTTGACATCGTGAGTAGACCACAAAAATACCCAAAGGAATGGAGACGTATTTTGCCCTAAGATAATGGGCTGTTATGCCACCAAACGACCATGAACTCTCTCAGTCACCCATAACATATATTATGGGCTCTTCGAGCTTCCCATAATATGTTTTTCCTTCGGGCTATATTGTTTCAATGGTGACAGGGCATCGACGCTCCAGAGTCTCTCATTGTGTGTCCGGAGTGACTGCGCTTTTACCAACAAAGACTTTAAAACTGGTAGCTAGCAGGATAGCAGAGTCTGACCTACTTCAACTGTGGATTGTCTAGTATGCTCTGCAATGTCATCTCCTAAATATCTGCTAGGTTTTTTTTTTCCTATAAATAGGTAGGTCAAACGGAGAAAATAGTAATCGTCACTCACTACTGACAACTCTCTCAAGTTGTTTGTTTTTTCTTTCTACTACTATTCAAACTTAGGCATGAGAAGCCCTTTAGTGGACACCTTTCCCCTTTTATCAAGGTGTTAACCATTTAAGCTAATTATGCATTTATTGAGAGAAAAATTGAATTATACTTAACACATGCTTATAGATATGAACAAAGAAAGTAACCCTTAAATTATTTTTTTCGATGTTCTTCGTTCATCATCCTTGTTCGTATCGAATAAGTAAATAACCATGGTGAACACATGAAAAACCACAAGCAAGAAGAACAACGGCCAATCCTCACAACAATATGGGATTGCCATGGATTCTCCAAGACCCCTAAATGTGAATCCAGAATTTTCGTCGATCACAGTGCCCAAGGCACCTGTTATCCGAGGATTGGAGCCATTTCAATGCAAAATTGGGATTGTCGCGACTTCGTCAAGACCCTAAATCGCTGCCACGATTACTTTCGAAATGTAGAATATAAGGAGTTATGCCCCAATTCTTGTCTTATGAAAGCTAAGATGATTACTACCTCTAATACAGCCAAATAGACGTATAAGTCTTCACCCGGTTGTGTGTTGGAGAGTAGAGCAGGTGAAGTCAAGAAGCCTTTTAGGAAGGCCTTCTTGCACTCCTCATCTCATTTTTTCTTTAATCCCTTTTCAAAGTCTTGAAGGAATGTATGCATTTTTAGTCAATCTGGATATAAACATATTGAGAGTTAGTGCTCTACATGTTAGGCTATGAATCTCTCTCTTCATCGTCGGTGATTTCACATCTAAGATATCCTTGATTTGGTTATGATAAGCTTTAATTCCTCTGTAGGGAACCAAATATACCCTAAGAATCTGCATGAGGAAACACCAAAGTGCACTTGGTGGAGTTTGGTTTCATTTGATACTCCAGTAGAAGTTCAAATGCCTTTACCAAATTTTGAATTTAATCTTCTCTCTTGGGTTCTTTGACCAATATGTCATCAAAGTAGACTTTCATAGTCTTGCCAATGAGATCCTTGAAAATCTAGTTGACTATGCGTTGGTAGGTCGTGCCTGCATTCTTCAAACCAAATAATAACCTTGTAACAATAAGTTCGCATTTCAATGACAAAAGAGGTTTTTTCTTTGTCTACTTCGTATATCAGGAACTGATTATAACCTAAATATGCAGCCATGAGGCTAAGTAGTTGGTTGCAAGATGTCACATCTACCAGAAGTTCGATGCGTGGAAATAGAAAGTTATCTTTCGGTCAAGCTTTGTTAAGGCCAATGTAATCTACATAGACTTGCCACTTCCCTTCCTCCTTCTTAACAACCAACACAACGTTTGCAAGCTACTCATAATGAGAGATTTGTTAAATGATTCCTTCCACAAGAACTTTGTCGATTTCTGTATCCATTTTCCAAGAGCTTTTTTCTAATGCATATCCTCGACTACGTGTTCTCGTCAATCAAAGGTCATAAAAAGAATTGATGGTCATCATAGGGAATCTACTTGAAGAAGCAACCATTCAAGAAAAAATGGAGAAAAAAAAGGAGACTAGAAAAAAATGAGAAATTCAGGTAAAAGGGTGTAAAAAGTTTTGCGCTTTCTTTTCTAACGAAAAGACTTGGGAATTTTGGAGAAGTCAAAATGAAGAGATCCTAAGATATTTATGGATGATATTTCGGAATCATCTCACCATTGAATCCGGATGGTGTTGCCTCGAGTTCAACAAATTTGACGGCTGAAGTAATTAGGAAAGCAACAAATAGTCCATCATTCTTCGTGGACATGCGTGAATGTTGAATTACTCAAATGCATTGATGGAATGATTTACAAATCATGCCATCAATGTTGTAACGATTTGCAAGGCAACATACGTAAATGCTGAACGACTCGAATTCTTTGCAGCATTCACAAGATTCAAGATACTAGAAGAACTAAAATGGTACTTGTTCCGACTTACTCCAAAAGGCATGGTCTTTGGATAACCATCCGTCCTCAAGGCTAATAGGTCCTTTTAGATACATACCACAGAAATCCGGTTATAGACTCCACAGCCTCCGCTACGAAGCTGAATAAACAGAGCAGCGATGCCTCCATCATTCTGATCCGGAATTAGGTGAAGTCTAAAGAATTTGTTGAGATTAACCATACATACTTTGCAAGATACAGAAACCCAATCTAGCAAGGAATCAACAGGTTTCCTAAAATCTTGGAGTTTTTACAATCTAATGATTGGAGTGCGTCGCAATTAATCGTACTCTTAAGAGGATGCAATATCTATCCTTAAATATCTTATGGACTTCTCCGTGTTTAATAAAGATTCTACTACCTTAAAATGTCTCATCCTCGATTGGTATAAATACATCATTCTAGGGTTGGTCTCTGGTAACATAATTATCGTATACTTATTCTCTTGCCCACTGTTTGAGTCATATATTGCTTACTAACTTGACCATAAAAAAACCTTCAATTGGCACACCCCTCCTAGGGTCTTTAGCTAGCTCACCGTTGTTTGTTTTTTTATTTTTTATAGGTTACTCATATTTGTGCATCTCCACCTCCTACGACTGTACACTAATTTGGTTCCAACAAATGGTAAAAATAAAAATGAAGTCTAAACAAAGAAAGAAATTGAAATCATAGCTCATTTGGTTAGAGCACCTTTTGGTAAACGAGAGCTCTTGAGATTGCCACTGCTAATCTCATACGCCATATTTTTTGAGACTGACATTGCTTCACATGTCACAATGCTTCCTTGTAATAAATACAAATGACCACATCTAGGAGCTTTAATCACAACAAGCACATCATAAGTGACTTTTAATACATTATTATGTGAAAGGAATTGAACATCTAGCCTATCAACTTTCAAAGAAATAAGTATTTTTCTACAAATTTAGTACATATCAAACACTTGTCAACTCGTAAACCACATCACTTGTCAACTCTCAAACCACACCACCATGCAACTTAAACAAACTATACTATTGTTTAACATAGATTGTCATCGTCCGTGGTAACAATTCCACCATCAAAATATTTCAAGCTTGAAAACCAATCCCTTTGAAAAGTCATATGATGAGTATAATTGGTATCGAACAATCTATGTCAAAAAGAAATTTATTTTTAGAAAACTCATATGATGAAACGGTGAAAGCAAAACTAGCATTAGAATTCATAGCCCACTTTGCCTTTGCCTTGGACTTCAACTTAGGGTAATCTTTCTTCTAATGATCCTTACTATGACACTATGCACATTCATCTATGTCAAAAAAATTCTGTTTTTAGAGCTTCCTCTAAGCTGAGAATGTGACTTTTCCTACTAGGAAAATTCCTTTCCAACGATCTATCTCTAACAAATAAAAACTAGGGGGTTTTTAACTCTATGCAAAATTTCATAGCTTATCAAGCCATTTGAGACATCTCCAAAATTCACAATTTCTTTACCATCCATAGTAGTAAGAACATGCTCATAGAAATAAAGAATTTAACAAAATTAAGGTTTTATCTTCATCTAAATTTATCACATCAGTAATCAACTTATTAAAAGTCTCAAGGCGTCTAATCATCTTTGAACCTTCTATATATGAAAGCAATAGAGTTTTTTTTTCAAGTGTAGTCAATTCTCTGTACTCTTCATCGTGTACTTGTCTTCTAACTTTTGTCACAACATTTTAGCCAATGTCTTCCGCATCACAACATACTTTGAGTTTTGACAAGGCACAATTGAATTGTAAAGTCAAATAAAGTCCTCACTCGTGGTGATCATGAAAAATCTATTTGCTAGTTTTAATTTGGATTACATATGCACCACAATTTCTTGATATGACTTGTGGAAGACTTAAATCATTTTTATAATGCAATTTTGTTCTGTCAAAACTTTTAAACTAGTATGTTAAAAGTTCGAGCTCACTATATCAAACCATTAGTCACCGATGATTCCTTTGGTCAATACACAAAGGGGCTTACATCTCAAATTGACAAAGAAAATGAACAATCCATCTAGAACAAATTCATATACATACACTGTATAAATCATTACCGTCACATATATAATTTACACGGCGTTGCAACTAAAATTCATGATACAATCTAAAAGTCTTCTAGGGGTGGGCATAAGTATAAGGGTCTGTGGATCCGTGAATTCGGATTGTATTACCTGGCCTGATATAAAACCATATAGTTCTTACTTTTAATTTTCAAAGAGTTCGAGTTAGACTTGTTTATGTAAAAACAAGTCAAAAACCGAGTTCATATTTATTATATTTAGGTAACCCAATCCGGACTGTTTAAGGGTTGTGTTCGCTTTCTCATTTTATTAGTGGTTCACAATGAAGCCCATGATCTATAAAGCAGTAAATTTTATATTTTTCAGGCCGTACATACAGATGTGAAGCAAAATTCTATGTAGACATTTTACACACACCTGTAAAAAATTGTGGAATATTCGAGGTATATACGAAGGAGGAAGAGGAAATTGAAGATGAACACAGAGATCGAACTAAGACATACACAAACATATATAACTGGCAAGAACTATTACATTGACCACTTCGTTCACTCTCAAGATGCATATGATCAAAACGCAAAAATTAACACATGCATGTACCTAAAATACAACATGACATAATTAAGGAGGTTCCAGAAAATATTTGTGCAAAATCTTTTATGGCCCTTTTTGTAACTGTAAGACGGATCAGCAGGAATACATCAAATCAAAACATCGATATGTATATCGACCTTATCAATTAATTATTCTTTTGGTTTAGGAATCTTGGGAATGAAATCTTGTGATCAGGTACGATCATTTATGCTATTGTGATGATCGGCACTCACTGGCAACTCAAGGTTACGAGTTTTCTCATCTTTCAACGGCGCGCTTGATGCTAGAGGGTCCTTGCTTTTGCCCCAGACCACAGTGTAGAGGCCGAACACTATGCAAATGGCTCCAATTACACTGAGACAAAGCACAAGGGAGACAACCAGCAGTATAAGTAAAAAAAATGATGATTCCTTTGTTTTGTGCATTATTCATGCATCGGAGACTATTAGCCGTTAATAGTACATGCAAGATTCACCATAAAACTTGTATGCATCTATAGTTGACAGTTATTTACGTGAGCTAGGGTGTGTATGTCTTTAATATTTTTAGCAAAGAAATTGGCTCATGGGTTGTATCATCTCTCTAGTAGAGGTGGAAGTCATACATCTCACAAGTTTCTTATTTAATTGGAGAGATAGTACAACATATGATTAGTAGAGACAATCAAATAGATCTATTCAATTTAGAGAGGAATTTTAGCCTTATACCTTCCGAGGTGGACTTGCTCAGCTAAAACGATAGCCCCTAGAGCGGCGGTGATGATCATGCAGAGGGGGCTGAAAGCGGTCACAAAAACGGGGCCTCGTTCCCTAATGACAACTCCTTGCACATAATATGCCATCCCAGAACAAACCACTCCCTAATTATTCACAAGAGTAATATAACGTCTCAAATGATTTTATTATATGTTATACAAAGGCCAGATTGTGAATTATGGGAGTGTAGTGTTGTATATGTACTCACAGAATAAACGGAAGCAAGGAGCCTTGAGTCCCAGCCTATAACCCAGACACTCAATTTGCGTTCCACTGCAAATGTTATTACTCCACCTTCCAACATACCCATCAAGCATATCCAAGCTGTGAGAGAGAGCTCTGCCGGGTACTTCTTCAACGTAAAGGACTGATATATAGTAACACATATAAAAGCTTGGATTAACTTAGTTATCATATAAATTAATATATACGAAATTGTGAGAGGTTAATAGATAGTGTGACATATCTACTTACGTTTTCAAACTATTAATCTCAAGCATTCATCACGTAGAATTCTAATTTGAGTAATGTTATTAAGACACACAAAACAAATATCATTGATGATACTTTCTAACACAATTCTATGTGTGTGACTCATCTATATTTGGGAGTGTATAGAGTAATACTGTAGTTTTAGTATGTGACAATAGTTTTATAAGTACTAACATGGCAAATAGAGTCTATATGCCAAACTTATATTCATTGACAAAATATTTATGTTATCAGACTATTAATCTAAACAACAAATTCAAACAACAGTTAACCTAACTAATAATCTACATTCACAATTCGACAAGAGAACATTTTTCGAACTGGTAACAAAATGTTAATTACCTATAGAAGAACGTTAGAAATATTGTGAATAGGTACTCACTTGAAGAATGAAGAAACTTGCCCAACCACCGCAGCTGCCTAAGAGCATTAAGGGGCCAGCGATCCAATGCTGTTCGCTGGATTCGGTGGTGCTGCTGTTGTGACTGTGTGAGTGTCCTCGTATGATATCCACAATGGGGCCTTTGTATAATGTCATGATCATTGCTCCTCCCACTGTGATCACTGTTCCAATTACCTTCGCCAGGCTATGTAGCTTCTTAACGTTGACAGTCTCTAGCCTAGTTACTCAAACATTAATTAGGACAAGACTCCGGTAAACTTTTTAATTAATTTGGACTCTATTCTATTAAAAATGGGATTTTAATTTAGATAAAATATTAATATCAACCGAATGAGATTGTGTTGATATTTGTAAACTTAACAAGATTGTACGTATATGATGGTATCAATGTATCATGCAATTTTTATAAGAACAAATCATATACTATTGATCAAATAACATTTGGACATTGTGTTATTTTGACTAAGTAATTATCTCTAATTCTCTTTTGGGAATCCTAGCTATTAGTCTTATCATGCTATACCTCAAAATTAATAAGAGTTTGGGAGATTGGAAATAGAGAGGAATTATATTTGTGGATAGATATGGACGAAAGATACATCAGAAGAAAAGAGAACAATATCTTATATCTCTAATTCTCTTGTAAAATAGCATTGTATTCCACAAGTAGAGAATCCGAACTTGTTGGTTCACTTTTTTCTATTTAGTGAGTCTTTATACATCCTAGCTAAGAAGTTTATTTTTTCTTTAAAGAGAAAAGGGAATGATAGAGGATGCAGAATACAACGTCAAGTTCTCTTACTAATATTAAGAAGAGAAGTATCACTCGCCCATCAACTAGTTTGTAGCAAGCTTACCATGTTTTTTTCTTTTTGACAAAATGATACTCTACGAGCATCTCAGTACAAAGACTCACTCAAATGTTAGATTTATATTCTTATAGTTGAGTCATAAAGAAAGGTGGTGGGTTTGAGTATTTTGAATTTCTTCTCTAATGCAAAGGATTCTTAGTTCTATATTATTATAATTTGAGTCCTAAGATGTGAGTCTTTGAATTGGAGAAGAAAATATTGGAGTCTAAACTCAAAATTGTGCATTGAAGATGGTTGGACTCAAAACTCAATCTTATTTTTCTTAGTTTAATAAAATCGTTTCCTTGTCGGTTGGGATCTACCTCACACTCAAATCTTATACTACTCAAATATGACTTTTTAAGTCTCCAGTGCGTTAGAAGTGATTTGCCTCACATTTGGACTCATATAAGATTTGAGACATTGATCTGCGATACATGAGTTGCTCTGCGTGAAGAAAGATCCAAACTTATGTGTAGATGAAAAATAGGGAAATTCAATGAAAAGTTCTCGGAAAAACTCCTGGTATTGTTTATTTTAACGAAAAATCACATTTTTACACTAAAAAGTCAATCCTGGTACGAATCACTTCACTCTTTATTTCGTTCTTATTTTTAAAACTCAAAATTTTCAAAAAAATTTCATTAGTTTCCCTTAAAAAGTAAAACATTATTTTAACGAATTTAATTATGTCCTGGTGTGCACCAGCAAACTTTCTTTAATTTATTGTCAAAAATTAATTATACTTTAAATTTTTCCTTTAATGAGAGTGCCATGAGCAAGGCTTACGTCATGTCATACATAAGTTTCCGTAGTAATCTCCCACAAACTAATGATGAATCTTTTTCTGTCATGTTATGTGAACTATGATAGAGTCATGTCAACCATGATTTGAGCAGAGAAATAAGAGGAAGAAAAATAAGGTAATGCACGTAAATAACATCTTAAAATATACACTTTAGGTATGAATTTGAGACGAAAAAAATTTGATGTACTAAATGTTGAAAACCACGAAACATTAGGGTAGTAAACAGCCTTTTACCCTATTTATTATGTTTTTATCATATTATTATTGTGATGTCGTTATAATTTTGGTGCGTACTGGTAGAGAGAGAAAAGAGATACATTAACATGCTTATCTAAAATAAAAAATTTAAGTAAAGGGGTAACCTCGTCTTTTTGTGTCCAAAACTATTCAACATGGTCATTTACGTAGCTATTACAACTTAGTGTTATATTTGTATGCAAAAATGTTACTCTTATCATATATTTGTAAATCATTTGTATTCTCTTTAATAAAAATGAGATTCATGTGTTAATAAATCTACCTCTATTAAAAAGGTGGTACAAATAATAGTACAAATATTTAGAAAGTGTAGCATTACTAGTTTGTAAGAGTTTATTATTGCTCATTTTTAAAGAAAAACCATTCTAGACACATGACGTAGCACAATGTAATTGGAACAGTATATGCCAATTCCCCGTAGTGCCTTCCAATGTGTTGTCTCCCAAACATACCTTAAACCTTTTTATTTGCATGCATAAGCGCACTAAAAATGCTAACCATGCATGCATAAGTGCAGGAATGATTATTAACTTTTACCTGAAACAAAGTGCCATTATGAAGGTAATGGCCGGAAGGACATTGACAACAGCAGATGCAAATGTCGCTGACGTGTACTTCATTCCCAAAAAGTACAAGTTTTGATCAAGAACCGGCCTGTATTCAAATGTTAATTATCATATTAATATATGATAATTGTACATGCAATAATCTACAAGTTATTTGGTTTACCCCTTAGGCGATACTTTCACCTTATTATTCCCTTTTGTTTTTTGGTGTAAACTAGTGTCAAATTTCACATGTTTATCAGAAGAAGAAAAAATAAAAGTTAGAGCATTACTCAAGAAAACCAAGCAGAACTATTCGGAGGAATATCGGGAGTGTCATTCTCGGCCTTACTTTCCTGTAAAAAAGAGGCAAAAACAATGTGGTCAAATTATTAGGGCAAAAAATGAAATATGATATGTAAACCTGTATTAATTTGACCACACAGTTTGGCATATTATTTGTTGTCAAATTAGTAATTTGAAAAATCACACGTGAATTTTGTTTAAATATATATTGTATGATTCATATTAACAATCTTACAGATTAACAATAGACTATTTTTCGTAACAACATAGGAGTATAAGCATTTTTGTAACAAGTATTTTGAGCGTCAAACGCCTATGTATATATGCCTGCGTGTATTTTTGGGATACATGAGGTAATAAATCAGAGAGAGAGATGACCTTTCAAGAACAAAGGCGAAGGGTGCGATGACACAGAAGGCAACAACGTGACGATAAACCGAGAGAACGAAGTGACTCATGCCATGCTTAAAAGAGACCATGCTAATGATATACATGCCTGAATATCCAAACTGAAGAGAGACCATAGCCAAGTAAGGCTTGATCTTGATGAGAAATAAACTCAACTTCGACTCTCCCATGTTTAATTCTGTATGCAGTCGCTATAGCTAGTACTAGCTGTAGCGTCGTTCTCTCTACTCCTCTTACACACTCTACTGATTGATTTACTTGTGAGAGGATGCCAACACTAAGATGAGAAATGTCCCTCTTATAAGCCTCAAAAGCAAAAATAAAGCGACAGCAGCCCGGCCATATTTCAAAAGGATACGTGCATGTCCAAACCACTCAACCTCTCTCTCTCTCTCTCTCTCTCCCTGTGTGTATGCGTGTATAATGTGTGGATACTCTTATCCATTAATCAAACACACCCACATAACAAGCAACTAGAATCCTCAATTGGGTGAGAATAAAAAAATAAAAAATTAGAGGGGGGAGGGGGGAAGGGGGGCAGATTTACTTAAGTGGATTTGTAACATAATGCTTTTCTTTTTTTTTCGTACTTAATTTATTAGAAGTGGGGATTTGATTCATTAACACCAAATCGCATTTTGGTTGAGTGCAGCATGATACATGCAAGAGGCTAAACTTACGCGGTGCTTGGGTATTGTAGAAGTGGGTGCTATGAAGAGTGGACACCACTTTAATATATTAATTAAGGTACTTGAGACACTTTCGAGTTAACTTTCACATTAAATGTTAGTTTTTCAATTTTGAAAAAAAAAAACAAGATTAAGTGAAATGACACGTGTGAATTGATTAGGTGTATAATGAGCATACACCATAGTTTATGGTGGTTAGCCAAAAATGCTTCCCGAGGTACCTCACCATACTTGGGGACTTTTTATGGGATGATCAAATTCAATAAATGGGAGAAAATTTGAGTGTGACATGGTGTGTTACTTATTTACAAGTTATCATTTGAGTAAATAATAAATTATTATTTTATGAAAATATGTGTTGTAACATAAATGAATAATAACAATATGTTGTAGTGTGGCAGTTATCATGCTATAAAATTTCTCCCATTAATAAATCTCATTCATCAAGTAATTAATATTAGTGGGATTGACATGGACGGTAAGTTTTGTCAAAGGTTACGCACTACACATTGATCATCTTTAATTATGTCTCCTAAAGCAATCCCTAAAACGTAGTTAAGGTACTCAGCCAAATTTCTTATTGAGATAAGCCTTTCATGCTACTTTAATTATATAACTTTGCCTATCAGCAAGACACTAATGATTCTTAATTTTGTATGGCCACAAATTAAGGCTAAAATCGAAAGCCTATTCTCCACATTCATGCATGTTGGCTTATAAACAAGCCACTAAATTGATTCTTTCCTTGATTAATTTATTGCAAACTACACAAAATTGTTAATTTAATTACTTCCATCGCTTTTTCTAATTAATTAAGGTTAGAAACTTGTTTCTTTATTCCCGCATTAATATTATTATTATTATTTGTTTTGTTTTTTTGTTTTCTGTACGTGGCCTTGCAAGATATTGATACTTCAGTTAGTAATATATATCTGTGTATCCGTACGTATATTTTATAAACATTTCATTTTCATACACTCAGTGGTATGGTAAAAGCACTTTACTTTTTAAACCCAAAGCCCTATATGCAAATTATACATCTACGTACATAATTTTGACGTTCGTACATGTATTTGTCACACTTTTTTTAATATTACATGTAAAATTCACATACTATATGTGTATATAATCATTACTCAAAAATTAAAATAAATTAAATTTCAGATAATAAATACTAAAATGTTATATGTGGTCGAACATTTCATCGTATTTTTAGATAATTTCTGAATAATACACATACATATTTTTAATGAAATGTCTCTTATTTTACTAAAAATGATTAATACACAAAACTATAGATCACATCACCAAAATTGTACATGTGCATGTCCTTTATCATTTTATGCAAATTTGGTGTGTTTACTCTTGTCTTTATATTCATGCAATAACAAGAGCATACTAGCCCTTTGATTGGCTTCAATCTAAGATGCCTTGGGCTAGCTTAACAACCATATCATGTACCACCGTGGGAAGAGAAAAAATAATTAATCAAACTATTAGGTGCAATATGCATTTTTAAATTAAATATACAGGTATCTGTATAATATATATAATACGTAGCCCATATATATATATATATATTGCCCTTCCATTAAGGATCCCTCAATAACTTTATTTGAGGGATATCTTGTGGTGGTCATTTCATAACTTTTATCAATGTTCCAACCCATCTATATTTTAGTACATTATCCAAAGATCATCCTTGCAAAAAATTAGACAAATTCAAAATCATTAAGACATGCATGCAATTATAGTGAAGAAAATATATGAATACGTTTTTTCAAATTTCTTATGACTATCATCATTTAATCCAACAGTCAAATAATTTCAAATTTAGATAATTATTAGTAAAGATGATCTTTGAGGAAAGAATTATATTGGTGAGTTTCAAACAGTGCCCTATATATTCACCCTCACTATTAGGCTAACACCAATAACTCATATATGTAGATATTAAACTCACAGTATTCATTATTTTTCCTGGATGAGTGTAGAACACTTGGGTAGACAAAGTCCAAACATATAAAGATGGTGGTTTCGTGTTTGGATTCCACGAAAATTTTAAATCATGTTGGTGGAATCCCACCTTAAAATCTTTGATACTATCTTTGAAAAGAGAATTGAATGTGGTTAATAATTATTGCAAAGAGAAAATAAAACAGAAAACATGTAAAACATGTGTATTTGGTTGCATTACTAGAAATTACATACCATTCACTACTAGAAAAAACAGCTTGCGCGACGAGATTTTGTGCGACAAATAAAATTTTGTCGCACAAGATGTCCTTGCATAACGAAAGAAACAGTGTCCTCGCGCAAAAAAGAAAGGAAATAAAAAAAACATTGCGTGACGAATACCTAAAGCGACGAACACGTGTCATCATCGCACAAAGTCAGCAAGAAAAACGTGGGATAATTTTTTTGGCGCAAAAATCTTGCACGACGAAAACGTGACCTTTACACAACAAAGGGTTCGTCACAACCATTCACTGCAGGTGAATAAGAGTAATCAGGACTGCATTTAGTACATATGCTTGTGCAACAAAAGCTTCATCGCGCAAAGGCCCTAACTTTCCTATAAATATGCGCTTCTGATGTTCTTATTATTCACAATTATGTTCTCCTTATTCTTCACAATTATATTCTCCTTGTTCTTCACAATTCTGTTTGTGCCAGGATGGAGGACAAAAATAAGGATCAGAGTATGCGCGACGCCAACCCTCATGATTTGAGGGAACATTTTGAGTTCACGCATGCGATCGCTGTAGCCATGAGGAATAATTGTCCTACTGCTGAGTGGTGTTCTTGGAAATTTGTGCCCGAGAATGCGAAGAAGGCAATGATGGATGAATTATTAGTAAGTATATTGTTGATGAATCAATAATTAATTTTGTGAAATTTGTTGTTATATGGTGGAATTAATTATTTCCATATATGTGTAACAATGTAAGTATACTCTTGATGATGATACGAATGAACAGTTGATGAAGTTGATCGAGGATGCATATGTTACAATCGGTGGCGTAATGATGTCGAGTGGAATGGAGGACCATCAAAATAGTAGTTTTAAATTTATGTTTTTTAGGACAATATTTAAATTGAAAGGTTTTTTTTTTTATAAGTTATGTATTTCGACTTAATTAGGCTTAAATTCCTTTCATTTTTTAAATAATTGAATGGATTATGGTATTAATTATTTTTAGAATAAATATTTAAGGTAATATTTATTTTTAGAATAAATAGTTGACTAAAAATTTGATTGTAATTATATAGTTTACGCAAACTTTATAATTACAATCAATTATGTCGTCACTAAAGAAATTGCGCAACGAAACGATCGTCATACAAGCACACTTTGCGTGACAGAGATCTTCTTTCATCTCTCAAGAAAAAAGTCAAATTGTGTTCAAATTATCCCATTTATTGGGCAGTAATGACGCGTTTGTGCGACGAACTCAGGCCTTTGCACGACCAATGTGTTTGTCGCGCAAAGGGTTCCTATTACTATAAAAACACAGTTTCAGAACCCTAAACTTCAAAAGTTTTGTGTTTCAAAAGCTATGGCCAATTCTAGAGAAGGTTCTGGCAAAAAGAAACTTGTAGTGTGCTCAGAGAGGTATCGACGAAAGCAAGTGTCGTACTTTGTAGAAAAACGTATGGTTGAGTCGTACGCCGAACCTATTTATGATATTGGCGATTTAGTGTGGAGGGAATGTTCTGCTGAGTTTGCGTATTGGAAAAAGGTACATGAGGAGTTGAAAAGGTACATGCTGGGGGAGTTATCGGTAAGTTTGTATTAAATAATGTATATTTATTATTGTTATTGGCATTAATGTAGGTTCATTGGGATGTTGACGAAACCGATGAGAAGCAACGAAAGCATCTGGATGGGCTTTTCAGGCAGCATTTTTGGCAGTGGAAGTTTGATATGATGTGGGATGCGGAGGCGGAGGAGGCTTGAAGTTGAATTGTTAAAAAAAAAATTGTTTAAATAAGATTTTGTGGATTTTATATTTATTTTAATTAATAAATTGATGTTATATGGATGAGTATTTAATACTTACATTAATTATAATTTGTATTTGGGCTAGTAAATTAGTTTTGGTAATTAATTTAATGTTTAATTCAGTCTAATTTTTTAATTTAGATTAAAATAAAATTTTACATTACATAAAAAGAAAACGGAAAAACTTTAAAAAAAAGTTCAAAAATATGCATTGCGTGACGATACATGTTTTCATCGCGCAATTTGTTGAAAAGAATAAAGTATAAAGTAAAGGAAATAAAAAAAATGGTAAACTTGGGCGACAAACAAACTACTTTTGTCGCACAAAGATTGTTTGCGTGATGAACAATTTCGCTCTTCATCGCGCAAAATCATTCGTCCAAGAGCCAACTTTATTATTAATCTGTATTTAGATTATGTAAAGGTTGCACAGTTGAAAAGAATAAATTATAAAGTAAAGGAAATAAAATTAAAAAATGGTAAACATGCGCGACAAATAAGTTATTTTTTGTCGCGCAAATAACCTTTGTGCGACTAACAGAGGTTTCATCGACCAAAGGTCATTTGCGTGACAAATATCTTGCTTGTC